CATAACTCCTTAAATATTGAGTTTTCGGCGTTTTCAGCTATTATTTGTGATCACTTTTCAAAGCGTGAATTATTGAATATTTTAAAATGGCCATAATTCCTTAAATATAGAGTTTTTGGCGTTTTTAGCTATTATTTATGATCACTTTGTAAAGCGTGAATTATTGTGATCGCTTCTATAATCGTGAATTATTGGATATTTTAAAATGGCCAAACTCCTTAAATATTGAGTTTTCGACGTTTTTTTCTATTATTTGTGATCACTTTTCAAAGCGTTAACTATTAAATATTTGAAAATGGCCATAACTCCTTAAATATTGAGTTTTCGGCGTTTTAGCTATTATTTGTGATCACTTTTATAAGCTTGAATTATTGGATATTTTAAAATGGCCATAACTCCTTAAATATTGAGTTTTCAGCGTTTTAGCTATTATTTGTGATCACTTTCTAAAGCGTGAGTTATTGAATATTTTAAAATAGCCATAATTCCTTAAATATTGAGTTTTCGGCGTTCTTAGCTATTATTTGTGATCACTTTTTAAAGCGTGAATTATTGTGATCGCTTCTATAATCGTGAATTATTGGATATTTTAAAATGGCCATAACTCCTTAAATATTAGTTTTTGGCGTTTTAAGCTATTATTTGTGATCACTTTTCAAAGCGTTAATTATTGAATATTTGAAAATGGCCATAACTCCTTAAATGCTTGAATTAAGCTTGAATTATTGGATATTTTAAAATGGCCATAACTCCTTAAATATTGAGTTTTCAGCGTTTTAGCTATTATTTGTGATCACTTTCTAAAGCGTGAATTATTGGATATCTTAAAATGGCCATAACTCCTTAAATATTGAGTTTTCGGAGTTTTAGCTATTATTTGTGATCACTTTTCAAAGCGTGATTAATTGGATATTTTAAAATGGCAATAACTCTTGAAGTATTGAGTTTTCGGCGTTTTTAGATATTATTTGTCATCATTTTTTAAAGCGTGAATTATTGTGATCGCTTCTATAATCGTGAATTATTGGATATTTTAAAATGGCCATAACTCCTTAAATATTAGTTTTTGGCGTTTTAAGCTATTATTTGTGATCACTTTTCAAAGCGTTAATTATTGAATATTTGAAAATGGCCATAACTCCTTAAATATTTAGTTTTCGGCGTTTTTAGTTATTATTTGTGATCACTTTCTACAGCGTGAATTATTGGATATTTTAATATTGAGTTTTCGGCGTTTTAGCTATTATTTGTGATCACTTTTCAAAGCGAGAATTTTTGGATATTTTAAAATGGCAATAACTCTTTAAATATTGAGTTTTCGGCGTTTTTAGATATTATTTGTGATCACTTTTTAAAGCGTGAATTATTGTGATCGCTTCTATAATCGTGAATTATTGGATATTTTAAAATGGCCATAACTCCTTAAATATTGAGTTTTCGGCGTTTTTAGCTACTACTTGTGATCACTTTTTAAAGCGTGAATTATTGGATACTTTAAAATGGCCATAACTCCTTAAATATTGAGTTTTAGGCGTTTTTAGCTACTATTTGTGATCACTTTTATAAGAGTGAATTATTGTATGCTTTTAAATGACCATAACTCCTTAAATATAGAGTTTTCGACGTTTTTAGCTATTACTTGTGATCACTTTTTAAAGCGTGAATTAATGGATATTATAGGCGTGAATTATTGGATACTTTAAAATGGCCATAACTCCTTAAATATTGAGTTTTCGGCGGTTTTAGCTATTATTTGTGATCACTTTCTAAAGCGTGAATTATTGGATATTTTAAAATGTCCATAACTTATTAAATATTGAGTTTTTGGCGTTTTAGCTATTATCTGTGATCACTTTTCAAAGCGTGAATTATTGGATATTTTAAAATGGCAATAACTCTTTAAATATTGAGTTTTCGGCGTTTTTAGATATTATTTGTGATCACTTTTTAAAGCGTTAATTATTGAATATTTGAAAATGGCCAAAACTCCTTAAATATTGAGTTTTCGGCGTTTTAGCTATTATTTTTGATCACTTTTATAAGCTTGAATTATTGAATATTTTAAAATGGCCGTAATTCCTTAAATATTGAGTTTTCGGCGTTTTAGCTATTATTTTTGATCACTCTTATAAGCTTGAATTATTGAATGTTTTAAAGTGGCCATAACTCCTTAAATATAGAGTTTTCGGCGTTTTTAGCTATTATTTGTGATCATTTTTTAAAGCGTGAATTATTGGACATTGTAGGCGTGAATTATTGGATATTTTAAAATGGCCATAACTCCTTAAATATTGAGTTTTCGGCGTTTTTAGCTATTATTTGTGATCACTGTTTAAAGCGTGATTTTTTGGATATTTTAAAATGGCCATAACTCCTTAAATATTGAGTTTTCGGCGTTTTAGCTATTATCTGTGATCACTTTTCAAAGCGTGAATTATTGGATATTTTAAAATGGCCATAACTCTTTTAATATTGAGTTTTCGGTGTTGTTACCCATTATTTGTGATCACTTTTATAAGCGTGAATAGTAGTAGTGATCTGGGGGAGGAAGTGGCAAATGATATAAAATTTTACGACCTGGGACTTCCGCTTACAAGATGCGTCCTTTACACCTTGAGGGCAATAAAAATATGTAATGAGACTCATATATATATTTTTTTTTGTTTTGGTTTTTATGTTTGGGTTTTTTATTTCACATTGGGAATGTTTAAACCACTGTGTGTGTGTAAGTGTGCGTTGTTTGGTTTTTTTTTCTTAAGCCAGCCTTCACTTGGTGTCGTCCTATCTGTAACACTTGTGGCACATATTATCAAAAAAGTTATAAAAAATGTACTTGAAATTATTTTGACAGGTCCCTCACATATGCGGTAAACGCATCACTACAGAACTAGAGTTGTAAAACATATTTTGCTCTCGATGTTTCCTAATATGATATGTTTGTCTAATATTATCTCTTGAGGATCAAATGAGAAAATATTGGTGTGTTTATGTTAAGGGGACAACGTAAAGGGAATGCCATTTTTCCCAGTAGTTGTAGCATTTAAATATTTTAGAAAAAGGATGTATTTAAAAAATCACATGAAAAAAAAACTAATTCGACGCTTTGTAAATGTGATTCCTTTTGTATTGAAACATCGAGATAAATTCTAAACTATGTTATGTATTAGATAGTTGTGTATTTTTTATTCGAAAGGATTTTTAATGTAAACAATATATTGGTATTTAAAGCGTAGTAAATCTTGAGAAAAATACTCAGTTTTAAAAAATCCTTTACAAAGTTAGCATCCTAAAAATAAAAATGGCCTTTGCGTTCAGCGAAAAAATTTCTGAAGATTGTGGATGTCAATAATTTCTATGAGGATACAGAAGGTGACATAGACATATGTCTCCTCGAGGAAAAAAAAGGATGAAGAGAATGTAGAAATGGAAGATGTGTTGGAGGACCATGGTGAAGCAATTGAGGACTCCTCAACTATGGAAAATGGAAATCAAACATATATCGTGTCAACTCATTACGAGTAGGATGAGGAGGAGGAAACTCAGTCCACAATCCTGAACGATGATGTGGATGAATATAGGGAGATTGGAGACGATGGCGAAACCACGATCACTGACACAAGAGAAAACGAATATGACAGGATACGAGAGGGACTGCCAAAAAAGGATGAGGATAATGTGGAGGATGTGGAAATGGAAGACGTGTTGGAGGACCATGGTGAAGCAACAAAGGACTCCTCAACTATGGAAGATGGAAATCAAACATATATCGTGTCAACTCATTACGAGTAGGATGAGGAGGAGGAAACTCAGTCCACAATCCTGAACGATTATGTGGATGAATATAGGGAGATTGGAGACGATGGCGAAACCACGATCACTGACACAACAGAAAACGAAAATGACAGGATACGAGAGGGTCTGCCGGAACGAGCAATGGTTAACTCATCAGTCGTATTATGCCCACCTAAATACAGTGTTCTTGATGATTTTGAGGATTATATTAATAAGAATTTTTTACATTTCAATTATATTGTACAAAATAATGAAGCGTATAAAGAATTAAGAGAATATCTCAACGAATTTGACAAAAATAAAAATACAAATTAAAAAAAAATGTGTTCTTCATTTGGCGGGATGATATAGGTGAAAAAAAAGAAAAAAAAACAACTTTTTCATATAAATAGGAGGGCAATGTTCCTAAAGAAAACAGTGTGAAATAAAGCCTAATAGAAATAAGGTCAAGCGTAAATCTTGTAAATTTATTCAACTCCTACAACCACAGAAGGATTATCACTATAAAGGAGATGGATGAAAACAGGGATTACGTTATCAGTGGACCATCCAGAACCCAAACCAAATATTGTGAAAGAATTGTGCTTAAACTAGACGATGCTATACTTTACCTGCCATCTAGGTTCCTAGCACTACGAGAAGAAGACGTCAAGGAATTGGGATGCGGTGGATATACCACATCAAAATCAACAATGGGAGGCGAGAGAGATAACACATTATACAAATTGGAATTGAAGCAAAAAAATCAATGAGAAAATATTGGTGTGTTTATGCTAAGGGGACAACGTAAAGGGAATGCCATTTCTTTCCCCAGTCGTTGTTGCATTTAAATATTTTAGAAAAAGGATGTATTTAAAAAATCACATGAAAAAAAAACTAATTCGACGCTTTGTAAATGTGATTCCTTTTGTATTGAAACATCGATATAAATTCTAAACTATATTATGTATTAGATAGTTGTGTATTTTTTATTCGAAAGGATTTTTAATGTAAACAATATATTGGTATTTAAAGCGTAGTAAATCTTGAGAAAAAACTCTGTTTTAAAAAATCCTTTATAAGGTTAGCATCCTAAAAATAAAAATGGCCTTTGCGTTCAGCGAAAAAATTTCTGAAGATTGTGGATGTCAATAATTTCTATGAGGATACAGAAGGTGACATAGACATATGTCTCCTCGAGGAAAAAAAAGGATGAGGAGAATGTGGAAATGGAAGACGTGTTGGAGGACCATGGTGAAGCAATTGAGGACTCCTCAACTATGGAAAATGGAAATCAAACATATATCGTGTCAACTCATTACGAGGAGGATGAGGAAACTCAGTCCACAATCCTGAACGATGATGTGGATGAATATAGGGAGATTGGAGACGATGACGAAACCACGATCACTGACACAAGAGAAAACGAATATGACAGGATACGAGTGGGTCTGCCAAAAAAGGATGAGGAGAATGTGGAATATGTGGAAATGGAAGACGTGTTGGAGGACCATGGTGAAGCAACAAAGGACTCCTCAACTATGGAAGATGGAAATCAAACATATATCGTGTCAACTCATTACGAGGAGGATGAGGAGGAGGAAACTCAGTCCACAATCCTGGACGATGATGTGGATGAATATAGGGAGATTGGAGACGATGGCGAAACCACGATCACTGACACAACAGAAAACGAATATGACAGGATACGAGAGGGTCTGCCGGAACGAGCAATGGTTAACTCATCAGTCGTATTATGCCCACCTCAATACAGCGTTCTTGATGATTTTGAGGATTATATTAATAAGAATTTTTTACATTTCAATTATATTGTACAAAATAATGAAGCGTATAAAGAATTAATAGAATATTTCAACGAATTTGACAAAAATAAAAATACAAATTAAAAAAAATGTGTTCTTCATTTGGCGGGATGATATGGGTGAAAAAAGAAAAAAAAACACTTTTTCATATAAATAGAAGGGCAATGTTCCTAAAGAAAACAGTGTGAAATAAAGCCTAATAGAAATAATATCGAGCGTAAATCTTGTAAATTTATTCAACTCCTACAACCACAGAAGGATTATCACTATAAAGGAGATGGATGAAAACAGGGATTACGTCATCAGTGGACCATACAGAACCCAAACCAAATATGGTGAAAGAATTGTGCTTAAACTAGATGATGCTATACTTTACCTGCCATCTAGGTTCCTAGCACTACGAGAAGAAGACGTCAAGGAATTGGGATGCGGTGGATGTACCATATCAAAATCAACAATGGGAGGCGAGAGAGATAACACATTATACATATTGGAATTGAAGCAAAAAAATCAATGAGAAAATATTGGTGTGTTTATGTTAAGGTGACAACGTAAAGGGAATGCCATTTCTTTCCCCAGTAGTTGTTGCATTTAAATATTTAGAAAAAGGATGTATTTAAAAAGATCACATGAAAAAAAAAAACTAATTCGACGCTTTGTAAATGTGATTCCTTTTGTATTGAAACATCGAGATAAATTCTAAACTATATTATGTATTAGATAGTTGTGTATTTTTTATTCGAAAGGCTTTTTAATGTAAACAATATATTGGTATTTAAAGCGTAGTAAATCTTGAGAAAAAACTCCGTTTTAAAAAATCCTTTATAAGGTTAGCATCCTAAAAATAAAAATGGCCTTTGCGTTCAGCGAAAAAATTTCTGAAGATTGTGGATGTCAATAATTTCTATGAGGATACAGAAGGTGACATAGACATATGTCTCCTCGAGGAAAAAAAAGGATGAGGAGGATGTGGAAATGGAAGACGTGTTAAAGGACCATGGTGAAGCAATAAATGACTCCTCAACTATGGAAGATGGAAATCAAACATATATCGTGTCAACTCATTACGAGTAGGATGAGGAGGAGGAAACTCAGTCCACAATCCTGAACGATTATGTGGATGAATATAGGGAGATTGGAGACGATGGCGAAACCACGATCACTGACACAACAGAAAACGAATATGACAGGATACGAGAAGGTCTGCCGGAACGAGCAATGGTTAACTCATCAGTCGTATTATGACCACCTCAATACAGTGTTCTTGATGATTTTGAGGATTATATTAATAAGAATTTTTTACATTTCAATTATATTGTACAAAATAATGAAGCGTATAAAGAATTAATAGAATATTTCAACGAATTTGACAAAAATAAAAATACAAATTAAAACAAGTAAAAAAGCTGTAAGTTCGGCCGGGCCGAACTTTTAATACCCTCCACCATTTGGTACAAATTTGGCAATTTCCAAAAAAAAAACCGTTAAAAATTCAGTTAAAATCTTAAAAATACCGAATGCTTATACGACGACGTGGGCCTGCATAGGCAACTTTTGTCATAAATTATTACAATATTTAAATGCGAAACTTGAAGAAAAATCTGTTTATAATGTAGCTAAAATCGTCAAAATACCGAATATGGGGGGTACCGTTATATGGGGGCTATACGAAGACGTGGACCTGCACAGACAATTTTCTGGCATGGGCTGAAGTATCCATTACGAACTTCACATGCGAAATTTGAAACAATCCCTGTAAATAATGTCGCTAAAATCATTAAAATACCGAATATCGGGGGGTACCGTTATATGGGGGCTATATGAAGACGTGGACCTACATGGCTCATTTTTTGACTTTAGATGAAGTATCCATTACGAACTTCAAATACCATATTTGAAACGATTCCGATAAACAATGTCGCTAAAATCATCAAAATACCGAATATCGGGGGGTACCGTTATGTGGGGGCTATATGAAGACGTGGACCTGCACAGATAATTTTCTGTCTTAAGCTGTAGTATCCATTACGAACTTCAAATACCAAAATTGAAATAATTCCGGTGAATAATGTCGCTAAAATCATCAAAATACCGAATATCGGGAGGTACCGTTATATGGGGGCTATATGATAACTTGGACCTACATGGCCCATTTACGAACTTAACCTGCCTACTGGGAAAATATACATGTGTGCAAAATTTTAGCCTTCTATCTCAATTTGTTCGAAAGATAGCGTGATTACAACAGACAGACAGACAGACAGACAGACAGACGGACAGACAGACAGACAGACACACAGACAGACAGACGGACACGGCTAAATCGTCTTAGAATTTTACGCTGATCAAGAATATATATACTTTGTTGGGTCTGACATGAATATTTCGAGGAGTTACAAACGGAATGACAAAATTAATATACCCTCCATAGTATGGTGGAGGGTATAAAAAATGTGTTCTTCATTTGGCGGGATGATATGGGTGAAAAAAGAAAAAAAAACACTTTTTCATATAAATAGAAGGGCAATGTTCCTAAAGAAAACAGTGTGAAATAAAGCCTAATAGAAATAATATCGAGCGTAAATCTTGTAAATTTATTCAACTCCTACAACCACAGAAGGATTATCACTATAAAGGAGATGGATGAAAACAGGGATTACGTCATCAGTGGACCATACAGAACCCAAACCAAATATGGTGAAAGAATTGTGCTTAAACTAGATGATGCTATACTTTACCTGCCATCTAGGTTCCTAGCACTACGAGAAGAAGACGTCAAGGAATTGGGATGCGGTGGATGTACCATATCAAAATCAACAATGGGAGGCGAGAGAGATAACACATTATACATATTGGAATTGAAGCAAAAAAATCAATGAGAAAATATTGGTGTGTTCATGTTAAGGTGACAACGTAAAGGGAATGCCATTTCTTTCCCCAGTAGTTGTTGCATTTAAATATTTAGAAAAAGGATGTATTTAAAAAATCACATGAAAAAAAAAACTAATTCGACGCTTTGTAAATGTGATTCCTTTTGTATTGAAACATCGAGATAAATTCTAAACTATATTATGTATTAGATAGTTGTGTATTTTTTATTCGAAAGGCTTTTTAATGTAAACAATATATTGGTATTTAAAGCGTAGTAAATCTTGAGAAAAAACTCCGTTTTAAAAAATCCTTTATAAGGTTAGCATCCTAAAAATAAAAATGGCCTTTGCGTTCAGCGAAAAAATTTCTGAAGATTGTGGATGTCAATAATTTCTATGACGATACAGAAGGTGACATAGACATATGTCTCCTCGAGGAAAAAAAAGGATGAGGAGGAAGTGGAAATGGAAGACGTGTTAAAGGACCATGGTGAAGCAATAAATGACTCCTCAACTATGGAAGATGGAAATCAAACATATATCGTGTCAACTCATTACGAGTAGGATGAGGAGGAGGAAACTCAGTCCACAATCCTGAACGATGATGTGGATGAATATAGGGAGATTGGAGACGATGGCGAAACCACGATCACTGACACAAGAGAAAACGAATATGACAGGATACGAGAGGGACTGCCAAAAAAGGATGAGGATAATGTGGAGGATGTGGAAATGGAAGACGTGTTGGAGGACCATGGTGAAGCAACAAAGGACTCCTCAACTATGGAAGATGGAAATCAAACATATATCGTGTCAACTCATTACGAGTAGGATGAGGAGGAGGAAACTCAGTCCACAATCCTGAACGATGATGTGGATGAATATAGGGAGATTGGAGACGATGGCGAAACCACGATCACTGACACAACAGAAAACGAAAATGACAGGATACGAGAGGGTCTGCCGGAACGAGCAATGGTTAACTCATCAGTCGTATTATGCCCACCTCAATACCGCGTTCTTGATGATTTTGAGGATTATATTAATAAGAATTTTTTACATTTCAATTATATTGTACAAAATAATGAAGCGTATAAAGAATTAAGAGAATATCTCAACGAATTTTACAAAAATAAAAATACAAAATGAAAAAAATGTGTTCTTCATTTGGCGGGATGATATGGGTGAAAAAAAAGAAAAAAAAAACAACTTTTTCATATAAATAGGAGGGCAATGTTCCTAAAGAAAACAGTGTGAAATAAAGCCTAATAGAAATAATGTCGAGCGTAAATCTTGTAAATTTATTCAACTCCTACAACCACAGAAGAATTATCACTATAAAGGAGATGGATGAAAACAGGGATTACGCTATCAGTGGACCATATAGAACCCAAACCAAATATGGTGAACGAATTGTGCTTAAACTAGGTGATGCTATACTTTACCTGCCATCTAGGTTCCTAGCACTACGAGAAGAAGACGTCAAGGAATTGGGATGCGGTGGATATACCATATCAAAATCAACAATGGGAGGCGAGAGAGATAACACATTATACAAATTGGAATTGAAGCAAAAAAATCAATGAGAAAATATTGGTGTGTTTATGTTAAGGGGACAACGTAAAGGGAATGCCATTTCTTTCCCCAGTAGTTGTTGCATTTAGATATTTTAGAAAAATGATGTATTTAAAAAATCACATGAAAAAAAAACTAATGCGACGCTTTGTAAATATGATTCCTTTTGTATTGAACATCGAGATAAATTCTAAACTATATTATGTATTAGATAGTTGTGTATTTTTTATTCGAAAGGATTTTTAATGTAAACAATATATTGGTATTTAAAGCGTTGTAAATCTTGAGAAAAATACTCAGTTTTAAAAAATCCTTTACAAAGTTAGCATCCTAAAAATAAAAATGGCCTTTGCGTTCAGCGAAAAAATTTCTGAAGATTGTGGATGTCAATAATTTCTATGAGGATACAGAAGGTGACATAGACATATGTCTCCTCGAGGAAAAAAAGGATGAGGAGAATGTGGAAATGGAAGACGTGTTGGAGGACCATGGTGAAGCAATTGAGGACTCTTCAACTATGGAAAATGGAAATCAAACATATATCGTGTCAACTCATTACGAGGAGGATGAGGAAACTCAGTCCACAATCCTGAACGATGATGTGGATGAATATAGGGAGATTGGAGACGATGGCGAAACCACGATCACTGACACAAGAGAAAACGAATATGACAGGATACGAGAGGGTCTGCCAAAAAAGGATGAGGAGAATGTGGAGGATGTGGAAATGGATGACGTGTTGGAGGACCATGGTGAAGCAACAAAGGACTCCTCAACTATGGAAGATGGAAATCAAACATATATCGTGTCAACTCATTACGAGGAGGATGAGGAGGAGGAAACTCAGTCCACAATCCTGGACGATGATGTGGATGAATATAGGGAGATTGGAGACGATGGCGAAACCACGATCACTGACACAACAGAAAACGAATATGACAGGATACGAGAGGGTCTGCCGGAACGAGCAATGGTTAACTCATCAGTCATATTATGCCCACCTCAATACAGTGTTCTTGATGATTTTGAGGATTATATTAATAAGAATTTTTTACATTTCAATTATATTGTACAAAATAATGAAGCGTATAAAGAATTAATAGAATATTTCAACGAATTTGACAAAAATAAAAATACAAATTAAAAAAAATGTGTTCTTCATTTGGCGGGATGATATGGGTGAAAAAAAAGAAAAAAAAAACACTTTTTCATATAAATAGAAGGGCAATGTTCCTAAAGAAAACAGTGTGAAATAAAGCCTAATAGAAATAATATCGAGCGTAAATCTTGTAAATTTATTCAACTCCTACAACCACAGAAGGATTATCACTATAAAGGAGATGGATGAAAACAAGGATTACGTTATCAGTGGACCATACAGAACCCAAACCAAATATGGTGAAAGAATTGTGCTTAAACTAGATGATGCTATACTTTACCTGCCATCTAGGTTCCTAGCACTACGAGAAGAAGACGTCAAGGAATTGGGATGCGGTGGATGTACCATATCAAAATCAACAATGGGAGGCGAGAGAGATAACACATTATACAAATTGGAATTGAAGCAAAAAAATCAATGAGAAAATATTGGTGTGTTTATGTTAAGGGGACAACGTAAAGGGAATGCCATTTCTTTCCCCAGTAGTTGTTGCATTTAAATATTTTAGAAAAAGGATGTATTTAAAAAATCACATGAAAAAAAAAACTAATTCGACGCTTTGTAAATGTGATTCCTTTTGTATTGAAACATCGAGATAAATTCTAAACTATATTATGTATTATATAGTTGTGTATTTTTTATTCGAAAGGATTTTTAATGTAAACAATATATTGGTATTTAAAGCGTAGTAAATCTTGAGAAAAAACTCCGTTTTAAAAAATCCTTTATAAGGTTAGCATCCTAAAAATAAAAATGGCCTTTGCGTTCAGCGAAAAAATTTCTGAAGATTGTGGATGTCAATAATTTCTATGAGGATACAGAAGGTGACATAGACATATGTCTCCTCGAGGAAAAAAAAGGATGAGGAGAATGTGGAGGATGTGGAAATGGAAGACGTGTTAAAGGACCATGGTGAAGCAATAAAGGACTCCTCAACTATGGAAGATGGAAATCAAACATATATCGTGTCAACTCATTACGAGTGGGATGAGGAGGAGGAAACTCAGTCAAAAATCCTGAACGATTATGTGGATGAATATAGGGAGATTGGAGACGATGGCGAAACCACCATCACTGACACAACAGAAAACGAATATGACAGGATACGAGAGGGTCTGCCGGAACGAGCAATGGTTAACTCATCAGTCGTATTATGCCCACCTCAATACAGTGTTCTTGATGATTTTGAGGATTATATTAATAAGATTTTTTTACATTTCAATTATATTGTACAAAATAATGAAGAGTATCAAGAATTTAGAGAATATTTCAACAAATTTGACAAAATTAAAAGTACAAAATAAAAAAAATGTGTTCTTCATTTGGCGGGATGGTATGGGTAAAAAAAAAGAAAAAAAAAAACATCTTTTTCATACAAATAGGAGGGCAATGTTGCTAAAGAAGACAGTGTGAAATAAAGCCTAATGGAAATAATTTCGAGCGTAAATCTTGTAAATTTATTTAACTCCTACAACCACAGAAGAATTATCACTATAAAGGAGATGGATGAAAACAGGGATTACGTTATCAGTGGACCATACAGAACCCAAACCAAATATGGTGAAAGAATTGTGCTTAAACTAGATGATGCTATACTTTACCTGCCATATAGGTTCCTAGCACTACGAGAAGAAGACGTCAAGGAATTGGGATGCGGTGGATATGCCATATCAAAATCAACAATAGGAGGCGAGAGAGATAACACATTATACAAATTGGAATTGAAGCAAAAAAAATCTAATTTCTTTTATCAGTCATATTTAGCTTAGTAAATACAACAAAAAATACAAATAAATTTATATTTGAAATGAAATTTTTGTGTTTTTCTTTTCCATGAAAATGTTGACATCTATAGAATATAAGACTAAATATCATTGTTAAAAGTTACTCAGTCGAGGAAAGAACAAACGTGAAGAATATGGCATCAATTTGGGAAGCAAATGCTAGGAAAAGGATGCAGGATGGGATGATCCGGAAATTGATGAATATCCTATGATGAAGGCTTCTCAATTGGAGGCTTTTTATAGTTTGATGATACCAATAGTAGAGGAATTCCTTAGAAATGAAATACCCACAAGGAATGAATATCATATACTTACAGAGAATGAAGCCAATGGATATGATTATATACACATAACTGAAGAACAATCATTGTGGGATTTAGATGAAAATGATCCATGGTGGGAATAACATAAGATATTATATTTTAATATAAAACGAAAATGTTATTGTTATGTAAGAGAAAATGCAGAAATAAATAATGTATTATTTAATAAAATCAACTCGGTTTTTTCATTTACACTTCACAGTTAGTGAGTGGAGCTCCTAGTAGAAAGATGTACCCCAACTAAATAAGGAAACTGAACGTCTGAAAACATTTTCAAATTGGCCTCTATCCTATCCAGATCCCAAAACCATGGCAGCAGTGGGACTAATTTACCCTGGAGTAGGCGATGTAACAGAATGTTATTTTTGTGAAGTGAATATTCATCGTTGGAAACAGACCGATTGCCCAGTATCTGAACATTTGAGAAATTCTTACAGCTGTCCTTTATTAAGAAAATGTATTACAAACAATATTTCCGCAGCACCTAAAACTTTAGATGTACTACTTCCAGAATTGGGACTAAATGTTTGTAGTCGTACATTAGTGAATCCTTTTTCACCAATATTCATTATATTATATACAATTATAGCCTTCAATTCCATTAATAAAATATTTAAAAAATAAGAAAAAAAATCTGTGTTTTTTACTATTATTATCCTTTATTGATGTCATCATATATTAAGTCCATGTTTTTGTTCCAATTTTGCTCAATAAATACAAATATTTTAAATAAATTATTTATAGCAAATTTATACACAAAGCTTGAATGTATTGAACAGTTAATACAATAATTTCGACATGTTCTTAGCTTAATTTTGTCTTCTAAATTTATTATGTTAGTAGTGAGATATTTCTGTAGAAATTGTTTTTTGTCTCTTTCAACAACAACAAAGTACTTATATTCATCCAATGGCATGAGGACACTCTCAACCACATTGTAGTCCACATCTCCACCCAATCCAATCCGTTTACAAAGTTCTTACAAATATACATTTGTTCTGCAGGCTTCGTTAGTAAGTTTTTTATATTAAAAGGCGGACGAAACAGAAAATGATTAGGCACAACAGAAGTACCGCAAATGAACGCCAGCTCCTTCATAAATATGCTCTTGTGGTTTCCATGACAAAACTGAAAATCCACTATCGTAATAGGTCGGATATTGCAATAGTGGATTTTCATCAATTGATCAATTGATTGCATCGTCATGGAAGTATTAAATTGAACTAACCAATTTCATGTTTTAAATGTTGTATTTATAAGCTTTTTATACCCTCCACCATACTATGGATGGTATATTAACTTTGTCATTCCGTTTGTAATTCCTCGAAATACTCATGTCAGACCCAACAAAGTCTATATATTCTTGATCAGCGTAAAATTATAAGTCGATTTAGCGATGTCCGTCTGTCTGTTGTAATCACGCTATCTTTCCAATGAATTGAGATAGATGGCTAAAATTTTGCACACATGTTTATTTTTCCAGTAGGCAGGTTAAGTTCGTAAATGGGCCATATAGGTCCATGTTTTCATATAGCCCCCATATAACGGTACCCCCTATATTCGGTATTTTGATTATTTTAGCGACGTTATTCACCGGAATTGTTTCAAATTTGGTATTTGAAGTTCCAAATGGATACTACACCCTAAGATAGAAAATTGTCTGTGCAAGTCTATTTCTTCGTATAGCCCCAATATAACGGTACCTTCCGATATTCGGTATTTTGATGATTTTAGCGACATTATTCACGGGAATTGTTTCAAATTTGGTATTTGAAGTTCCAAATGGATACTACACACTAAGACAAAAAATTGTCCTTGCAGGTCCACGTCTTCGTATAGCCCCAATATAACGGTACCTCCCTATATTCGGTATTTGGATGATTTTAGCGAAATTATTCACTGGAATTGTTTCAAATTTGGTATTTGAAGTTCCAAATGGATACTACACTCTAAGACAGAAAATTGTCTGTGCAGGCCCACGTCTTCGTATAGCCCCCATTTAACGGTACCTTCCTATATTCGGTATTTTGATGATTTTAGCGGCATTATTCACCGGAATTGTTTCAAAATTGGTATTTGAAGTTCGTTATGGGAACTACAGTCTGTGACAGAAAATTGTCGGTGCGGATCCAGGTCTTCGTATAGGCCCCATATATCAGTGCCTCCCTATATTCGGTATTTTGACGATTTTAGGTACAATACCCACCGAAATTGTTTGAGATGTGGTATTTGAAGTTCGTATAGGATGCTACAGCCTGTGACTGAAAATTGTCTATGCTGGTCCAGGTCTTCGCACAGCTCCAATTTAACGACACCTCCTTATATGAGATATATTGATGATTTTAGCTACATTATTCATCGTTTATTTCAAGTTTCGAATTTGAATATGGTAATGGCTTATGATAAACAATGCATATGTATGTCCACGTTGTATAGAACTTTAAACAGAGGTGCCCACATTTTTATGTTTTAAAGTGTTGATCTCTTTTATAATTATTAGTAATATTTTGACTTAAATAATATAAGATTTCTAACGGTTGGAGATTTCCAAAACTATCATAATATTCAATGATGTTATCATATTTATAATATGCTACCCAATACGTGCCAGGTCCACTATCATTATCCATATTTATAATACCACACTCTTTCTTATATGGCATTTTAGGTAATCTGTTGCGCATATATACACCACTAAAGCGCGGTATATATTTTTTTCCCAAATAATATATTTGTTTGTCAGTAAGTGGTGCGTTGGGTAGTTGCTTAATTAGTTTTTTGATGTATTATTCAAGTAAATACCAATACCTTTTTTGTAGGGTTTTAAATACAAACCCTTACCCATAGCTATAGCTTCGATAGTTTTGTTATGTCTGGTTTGCTCCTCTAATTGTCGTTTGGCATTTTTAGCATTCATAACAGCATTAGCAATTGCGAATTGTGGAAAGACTAATGTTAGCTAAGCTTGATAGAAAGTCCAAATGGATTGAAATTCTAAAATCTTTATATATATTCTAAATCTCTATATCAACCGAAATACGAATATATCAAGAAACTTATGTCATCTATAAAGGGTATGAGATTGTTTACTTTCAATAATAATGAGGATGTTGTACAACCAGAAGATATAAGGCCAAATTCAATTCTCATATTCGATGATGTGGCTTGTGATAAACAAAATAATATTAAAACATAATTCAGTATGGGTCGCCATAAAAATGTCGATTCATTTTATTTATGTCAGACATATACTAGGATTCCGAAACATTTACTACGTGATAATGCAAATATGATTATTACGTTTAAACAAGATGATTTAAATTTAAAACATATATACAATGATCATGTTGGAAGTGATATGAGTTTTGAAAAATTCAAAGAAATATGTCGTGAATGCTGGAAGGAAAAATATGGATTTCTAACAATTAGCAAAGACGATGATATTAACTCGGGAAGATATAGAAAGGAATTTCACACATTTATACAACCATAAATAGATTTAAGTAATCCCTATTATAACCACTGCTATTAGTATAATCACAACCATGGAAGAAGATATGTTAAAGCGCCTTGTTAAGTCCAGAAATGCCTTGAAAAGAAAATTACGAAGCATTAAAAGGGGGTAAGAAATAAAAACAAACGAATTGAACAGTACATCCAAACCCATAACTGAGCCAATACATAAACTATTAAAACTAACGAATGATAATGCATCAAATCCCACAATACCTAAGAAGGAAAATATTGAATCATATAAAGATTATTTTGCTATGAGTACACCCGTTAAAAAATTGAAACAGGATATTAAGCCAGAACCTAAAATGTTATGGGAGGAAACCGATGAGTCGGATTCAAAAGACGACACATTTTATACAGACAATGATGATACCGTTGACGTTTCTCTTTAAAAAAAACAAAAAATTGGATACGGTATATGGACCACACAAAGATATTCACGGAGAATGGAAATTTGGGGACAACCCATCAAAAGTTGATGATCAGAAAATAATTATTGAAAATCAACATTGGGCATTTACACGGGGTCTATTTGAACTACTGTTTTATCGAAAACCTAAAAATAATGACGCGTCAGAATTAGAAATATATAAAAAATTTTTGCTGGACTCTAACGCACATAAAGTAAACTTTAAACATAATGAACGAATCAAATCCAACAGAGGATATAAATATAAACGTGTTATTAAACACTTGATGGATGATACTCACAGCGGCAAAGGCCTAATGAGAGTAAATTTCCATAAACCGAACTATATATACTAGGACGATCCTAATGAATTAATAGAACGATTAAAGCTGATGCTAGCATCACAACAAGCCGGAAATAATAATCATACTAATGCGATTGTTTCTATTATCGAGGAACTGAGAGAGGGAAATATAATTTATTAATCACCTGAATTACAAAATCAATGACTGTGGATAAGTTTGGTCATCATTATCATCTAAAATATACTTCAGCCACAATTAAGGGAAATGTTTCGAGAGTGCTGGGAATCAATATTGATGAAGATAACAATTTGGACATACAAAAGAGGATTAAAAACTTGGCTCCCCCGGCGGGAGAATCGGATGCGGTCAACCAAGCATACGTACATTCGCAAAACAAGAACCTACAAGAAATATTAAAGAAAAACGTATTTCAAGAGTGTTCCAATATAAGAGAAGAAATATCGCGTTTAAAACACACGTTAAATGAACTTTATGACCTTTTATCGAGAACTACATTTACTCATACAGTGTAAGATAATAGATTTAATAAAAGATGGAAAAACGAGGAATAGTGAATGAACTTCACACTTATGCAAGAAAAAAATTTGAAAGGCGGAGGGCAGCTGATTTAGTTGAAATGGGCAACTATCCTAAAGCAAACAGGGGATACAGGTTTATGCTAACAGTGATTGATACTTTTTCAAAATATGCACGGGCTAAAACGCTCAAATCTTAAAACGCCTTGGAAGTTTGTACAGCATTTGAAAAAATATTGAAAATGGGACGAATTCCCAAGAATTTGCAATCTGATGATGGGAAAGAATTTTTTAATATTGTCATCCCCGTCTATAGGAATATCTATTGTATTTACAGGGGGTATGTTACTTATATCTACATCTAATTCTGTAGGAAAATTAGAAATACTTATTTTTTCTAAATCTGTAACATCATTACTATTTACATTTGCGATTAATTCAAAAATAGAATTATCGCTTACATTTTCAGCATGAAAATCTAGTTCCATTGGAACCACGGAATTCACCTCATTATCATTTTTTATTTTATAATGGCCCCAAGCATACATGCTTACACCATCTTCTCGTATAAATCTTTTATCATCTTGGAAACTGAGACACACTTTAGTTATATTGTCTGTGTATATCTCATGTTTCCTCGATCTAAATTTATACATATTATAATATTTTATTTGATTGTACAGACAATCCCTATACGCGTTAATGGTGTACTGCTTCATAACAGATTTTTTAACACCCTTTGATTTCTTTACCTCTTTTATAGCGTACATTTTTGGTCTAAGGCCTACAAATTCCGATACCGTCTTTCCGCAGTTCTCGTCCTTCATTCCTATTACTTTTTTATTGAGAAGTGGTATATTATATGGGTTGGATGGCGGAAAATCTGATGTGTCAAATCTAGGCAGTATTTCCTTTCGTGATAGTTCAGCAAAGAGGTTGCGGTTAGTGAAAGTTAGTATGAAGGAATCAGTATCCATTTAATATAATATGAAGTCATCTCCAAACTTTACTTTTAAAAAATCATACAGGAAATCATGCATGACCCATTTTGATAACTCTAAAATAAAAAACCCAAGGTATATAGGCTTATCATATTTCACCCTCACTTTGTTCATTTGAATTGCCACCATTTCATCTGAAAAGTTAGACTATGAAATTTGTTTTGAATGGTTTCTTATTTCTACGATTTTCTTTTTGTCCACATTTTCCATTGTTTTGCCATAAACAGAATTATTTATAAATTTATAAAAAACAATTTGCGAAAGCATCTGTGGCTTGTGCTCTGAGATTGTCATTTTTCATTATGTATGCTGCAAGCCAGTTAGATTGTGTAAACTGTAAACAGCTATTGACTTTTTTAAGAATTAAGTTATGCTGGATACATTGTTCAAGCACGCTATAATCAATGGTGTAAGAGATTTTGTCATTCAAATCTGCAATCAACTTTTTGATCTTGCAGCCACCAACACATTTGGATTCAGGACAAAAGGGTAAATCATTGTGTTTGTCATGTAGATTTTGTGGATATTCTAAGTCCACATTAAAGAAATAACCTTTTGGTGATTCATTAGGAATCGCTAATATTTTACTGACGTCATTGAATTGTTCCAACTCTTCTTGAGTTGGATATTCACCTCGGGTTTACTAGGGTCATAGTCCGCAGTATGTTTACTATTGCCTACCGAGTGTCTATTTGAACATTGTGTAAGTCCACCTCTAATTCCATTTTTACAGAAATTATACATGTTAATACCTGTAAATAGCTCTAATTCAACACCTGTGCACAGCAACATGGCATCTCAAGATAGTGATGGCACTGTGAAATACTGGCAAGGATCAAGTCCATGGTGACGGAGGCATAAACTTCGAAAGTTTTCGAACACATCAGCCAATAATAAGGAATCTGTTTTTAAATAAAACTCCGTATAATCTTTGACAGTTTGACATTCAAAGTCTCTCCATACATTCTGCGCATGTCCATAATCATCTAGCGAAAACTCACTGTCATTCAACCTGTTGTAAAATTCATTTCGTGCCGGCAATTGTCGTTCATATAATTTGTCTAATGAAGACACGTATTCATAAGGAAAAATTCCTTTCCTAGTTAGCAGATTGAACTCAGCATCATTTGGAAACTGTGTACGAACAGCTTGAAATGCGTTTTTAGGTACATTTTTAGCTAAACTATCCAAACTGGAAGACATAAACGAAAACTGTCCAAGAACCTCAGTTCAAATTTATTCCGCCATTTGTTTTTCGAATTCACCGAAGAATTATGATCAGCCATTTCATTGAAATCATTTTTCATGTTAATAAAAAATGACGTTGACACATTAAACTTTATTTAAAGGAATTACATCAATGTCTCCATCACACTGCATTAATTCTTTGAAGAATAAATGGCAATCGTATTTGGAATAATTGTGAAAGAATATTGGTATAAATTTTGACACACGATATTTGAGATTGCATTCATGTGTTCATTATTTATCATATTTAATAGTATATTTCTGTGCTATTTTAACTTACCGTGACATATCCATAATCAATATGTAGTGGAACTTGTCGCCCTCATGAAGAAGCATCAAGTTAATATAATGATTCCTTCGTTTTGGGTTAATATAGTAGGGTCCAACTATCTGATTTCATTCATAGCCGAAGACATTAATACTAATATCTTCATTATTAGCCTCAAAATCCTTGATATTTTTTATCGCCATAGAGAAACTAAGTCCTCTAAAATTCAATATCTTCCCGGATGGCAAGTATATAATATCTTAGGTTATATTAATATTATATGATTGCGGATTAGTTTTATCACATGCGATAAAGCTGCCACAATACACCATTTGAAGCAAAATTCATCGTGATTTCTAATGTTAAGACAGGCATTCTTTTTTGATAAAGAGAGCGGTATCTTCAAGAACTGGGAGCCACGAGTTAAATTAGCTTTATATATATTCATATTGAGCTTTACGACTTTCTCTAAATCCCAGCCAGAATCTCTTTCTTGAAATTCTGACATTTTACGATCAAATGCATGAGCATGCGCATCCGACTGTAGGGATGTGTCCACGCTAACATAATAGGAAAAACAACAACTTGAGACAAATTTCTTTCTAGGGGCGCAAGTGTTCTTACTCATGGACGCATCTTGTAAGCGGAAGTCCTAGGTCGTAAAATTTTATATTATTTGCCACTTCCTCCCCCAGAACACTACTACTGTGAATTATTGGATATATTAAATATTGAGTTTTCGGCGTTTTTAGCTATTATTTTTGATCACTTTTATGAGGGTGAATTATTGGATAATTTAAAATGGCCATAACTCCTTAAATATAGAGTTTTCGGCGTTTTTAGCTCTTATTTGTGATCACTTTTTAAAGCGTGAATTATTCGATATCTTAAAAAGGCCATAACTCCTTAAATATTGAGTTTTTGGCTTTTTTAGCTATCATTGGTGATCACTTTTATAAGCGTTGGATATTTTAAAATGGCCATAACTCCTTAAATATTGAGTTTTCCGCTTTTTTAGCTATTATTTGTGATCGCTTTTATAAGCGCGAATTATTGGATTCTTTATTTAGCTACTATTTGTGATCACTGGTACTGGATTTAATAGCCAAAATTTAGCTAAAATTAAGCAACTAGTATCACTATAGAATGATTAGGGTCTGAAATGGGGATAATTTATGCGGGTTTAGTAGCCGGGGGAAATGGAGGTGTTCAATACGCATGTCAAAGGCAAAGCGTTGTTATTGTTATCCCTTTTATTTGTATTGATCGTATCTATGGCTTATTTTCCACGATGTTTGATTTGATCGTGTAAATGGGGGTCATTTATGTGGACACAGTAGCCGGGCTGAAGTGGGGATAATTAATGTGGAGTGAAATGCATTGTTCAATGCATTGCCTATGACTTATTTTTTCATGACGTTTGATTTATACGTGATTTGTAGGTGTGTAATATATTTTTTTTTAGGGGATTATTGTGTGTAATGTTTAAGACGAACTGTAGTAAGATGATCTTTTGACCGGGTGATCCAGGTGGTTGCGCGAGTGTGTATGTGATGGTGCTTATGACTTATTAACCACGGGACATTCTATTGCAGTTAATATCGTGCATATTTTAGGGGATGTTTGTGTGTGTTGTTTAAGACGCACTCAGTGTCGAAATGACCTTTTTTTAGGATGGCGCCTAACTTCTTTACATTACAAATGTGTAGTGTGTATGAATTATGATTTTTTTTTATTTGGTATTTCCTTGCTAACAATTTGTGTGCGATATACTTAAGATTTTTTTTATATGTGAATTATGAATTAATTGTCAATAAATTCGGAAAAAGGTTGACATTTATTCTAAAAATATTGTTTAAGTGATATAATCTTGGTATTCGTCAAGTGTAAGAAGAGTTTATTGGTGACAACCTTAAAAAAAATCCACATGAGAAAGGACTTATGAGTATAAAAGTAATATTCGTTTTTAGGAGTTCAATCAGTTTAGTGATATCATTATAAGCAACACCATGCCTTCAAAAGTTTTGAACGAGTCATCTGTGCAGAATTTGGAAGACCCTTTTGTAACACAGATTTGGGAAAAGGAGGAATGGTTCAGCCCGGAAAGTTTAGCGAAATGGAGAACGATTTGGTGGCCAAAGGACTAACTATCCATACAGAAGCTCAAGGTTTAGAGAATATGGATTGGTCGGATGATATCGATTGGTCTAAGAAGGAAACACCTACCGAAGATGAAGGGACAAGCAACAAAATATCCCCCGAGGGAGCTGATGAAGAAGGAACATCTGAGGAAACATGGTGCGAGGAAGAAGAAAGATCGCTAGAAGCAGATATATGGGATGCATCAAGAGAAGACTTAATAAAAGATTTTCTAAGGGTACGGACACCTGAGGGGCAAAACTTTATGAGTTGGAAGCGACTGACTCATATTTCACTGATCATCTCCGTGAAAACCCAATAATACTATTAGTGGTGAGTTGGCCAAATTTGTTAGTGAGGATTGAAATTGAAGATGCGGAGGAATGTGTGAAGGAGGAAACATATGATGAGCTGGAAGGCGTAATTAAAGATAATATAATCGATTTATGTAGTGAAGCTGAAAGCGATGATGCAATGGAAGATGTTGCAAAGGATTTAAATACTTATAAGAATATCATAAACCAATTTAATAATAAACATAACGTATAAAACAATAAAAAGCATGCCTTTTTTCTTGCTTTGGTTTGGGGCTGGTAAAATTATTATTATTATTTATTTTTGTTAATAAAATAAAAGAAATATGAATAAATAATTGTTGTCTTTTTTTATTATGAGGGAATAAAAAAAGTGAGAGTGAGAAGGGGGGTTGTCTTCTCATTTTATTTAATTATTGGGTAATATATTTAAACAATATTAATGGATGGGTCGGATTGGGGGTGGAGTCTAACATAAGCAATATCATATAAATAGATGCATAGATGCATGCTATGAATATCATACAGTTTAAAAACAAGTGTTATTAGATGAATTCCTGCACTGAATTAGTTAATTCTTTTACTTTTCTCAACTTTAAGAAAAGTATGAAGGACATGGAAGCTAATAAGGAATATTTAATAAGCGGTGATAAGTGATCACTTTTTAAAGCGTGATTTATAGGATATTTTAAAATGGCTATAACTCCTTAAATATTGAGTTTTCGGCGTTTTTAGCTATTATTTGTGATCACTTTTATAAGCGTGAATTATTTGATATTAGTAGAAGGGGGTTGCTGGTACTGGATTTAATAGCCAAAATTTAGCTAAAATTAAGCAACTAGTATCACTATAGAATGATTAGGGTCTGAAATGGGGATAATTTATGCGGGTTTAGTAGCCGGGGGAAATGGAGGTGTTCAATACGCATGTCAAAGGCAAAGCGTTGTTATTGTTATCCCTTTTATTTGTATTGATCGTGTCTATGGCTTATTTTCCACGATGTTTGATTTGAACGTGTAAATGGGGGTCATTTATGTGGACACAGTAGCCGGGCTGAAGTGGGGATAATTAATGTGGAGTGAAATGCATTGTTCAATGCATTGCCTATGACTTATTTTTTCATGACGTTTGATTTATACGTGATTTGTAGGTGTGTAATATATATTTTTTTTAGGGGATTATTGTGTGTAATGTTTAAGACGAACTGTAGTAAGATGATCTTTTGACCGGGTGATCCAGGTGGTTGCGCGAGTGTGTATGTGATGGTGCTTATGACTTATTAACCACGGGACATTCTATTGCAGTTAATATCGTGCATATTTTAGGGGATGTTTGTGTGTGTTGTTTAAGACGCACTCAGTGTCGAAATGACCTTTTTTTAGGATGGCGCCTAACTTCTTTACATTACAAATGTGTAGTGTGTATGAATTATGATTTTTTTTTATTTGGTATTTCCTTGCTAACAATTTGTGTGCGATATACTTAAGATTTTTTTTTTATATGTGAATTATGAATTAATTGTCAATAAATTCGGAAAAAGGTTGACATTTATTCTAAAAATATTGTTTAAGTGATATAATCTTGGTATTCGTCAAGTGTAAGAAGAGTTTATTGGTGACAACCTTAAAAAAAATCCACAAGAGAAAGGACTTATGAGTATGAAAGTAATATTCGTTTTTAGGAGTTCAATCAGTTTAGTGATATCATTATAAGCAACACCATGCCTTCAAAAGTTTTGAACGAGTCATCTATGCAGAATTTGGAAGACCCTTTTGTAACACAGATTTGGGAAAAGGAGGAATGGTTCAGCCCGGAAAGTTTAGCGAAATGGAGAACGATTTGGTGGCCAAAGGACTAACTATCCATACAGAAGCTCAAGGT